AAAATTGCAAATATTTACTTGTTTATTTAATTATTTTTTTAGTCCTGTCATTTATTTTTTCTGTGTCATATATTAATAAGATGTTGTAAGCTATTCTAATCTCATATAGATTGTATTTATGGCAACATCTAGAATTAAAATGAAAACATTAACTTTAAAAAAGACTTGAATATCATTAATAGATGCATCGTCATTTTCATAGCTAAATAATTTTTTTATAAGTTTTGCTATTACTCCACCATGGGATAATTTAATATTACCTTCTAAATTCAATAATTTTGCCAGTTTTATTGCTTCAATAATAATTTTTTAAATGTTTCATCCAACTCTAAGTAATCTCAGACAAAAATACATAAAATTTCTAATAATTTCAAAAAAGCTTAAAACATCTTTTGATAATTTAACAGCATCATTTAAAACAAAATTCCAGGAATGTGCAGGCAAGGTACAAATTAGCACGCGGATTGATGTTTTTTATTCTTTGAACTCCTGAGTACTTTCTTTTCATATTAGCCTAATTATCGAATCCTTTACCTCATATATTGCTAAAAGAAATTTCTAAATCACTTAATATTAGCTTCGATGTGAAGCTGAGAAGCTATTAAATTTACTTAGATGTGTTTTTTTTTTGTGTCTTTTACTACTTATTCTCCGCTTTCACTGAACCGATTTTGATAAACAATATGTCAAACGATCACAAATTGTATATAGTCGAAGAAATTACCCTCAACATTTTTTTTAAAAATTCGATATTTCCTGTAAAAATAATCCAAAAATACTGACTACTTTATTTATATCTTAAATAAAAGCTTAAGTAATATAATCTACTAGGAACAAAAAAATTTCGAACTATAGATTGTCTTTAAGATGAAAATGGCTACTGTATTCAAAAATATGCTATTTTCGTGTTAAAATTCTTGGTTCCTTATTTTATTTTAAAATACTTTAAAAGGGGAGAACACTAATTTTCATAACAAATACATAAATCTAATTGATATAAAATATAAAATTAAAACTTATTTTAATTCTTTTGCTTCTTTTAAGTCTAGAAAAATAATTCTGAAATTTTGAACTAGCATAAATTGCTATTTTAATCCCTCAACAATATAGGATCGCGTATATTGTTATATAACACTTCCATTATTATAAATATTTTAATTTATAAGAAAATAAAATTATTATAGATATTCGTCATAAAATTTTAATATAGATATAATATACAGAATAAAAATTGATATTTTGTTATATTCTTTTAAGCCACATTATAACATATGGCACTTTAATGAAAATGTTTGATAATATTAGTTCATAAATGTAAAGGCTCTATTATTGCAAACAAACAATTAATATTTCTCAACATAATGGTTAAATGAAAACAATATTTTTACATAAACAAATTATAACAATATATTTTCAAATTTGTTTAACAAACACATGATTAAATATCATAATTAGTTTTTATTAATTGTTATGAAAGATTTGGTATGAATTGTGCATTAATAAATATATAATAAAAGATTAAGAAATTTTCTCTAAAATTGAACTACGTATAAAATAACTGGTTGGCAATTTAACAATTTAATATAGGTTGAAACTAAAATTAATTTTTAATTATTTAATAGACTAGATATCTGCTTTGACTTAATTTCATTATAAGTTGGTCCAAATCTTAAAACTATATTGCATTAAATACTTTGTTAGACAGTTTCCATAATATTTTCTTCAAAAAACGTGAAAGTTTCTAATCTAAAAAAATATATTAATTGAAATTTATTCAATTATCGGTTTAAATGTTAAAATAAACAACCTATTATTGTCATGATAAATAGTTAACTCTAAGAACGCATTTTAATACCAAATGTGTGTGATTAATAAAAAATGGCTGTATTTTACGTATATTGTTAGCATTTACATTAATGAACTCGCCATAATCAAGCAATGATATAAAAAATGTCGTTTCTCCACCAACGTCATCATAAATGTCTTTACAGATGCCTCTGTAACACTTACCGTTGTCTAAAATTAAGGAAAACTAATTATCAAAGCTTATTGATACATTTTATTTTGATTCACAATTTTTAACTCTGAGAAATTTATTGAATATTGTAAAGCTATAGCTAATTAATCACTTAGCTATAGTTTCACCTAATAGCAATAAGAACTAAATAAAACTGGTGATTTGAGCAACTTTGTTTACTATTAAAATTACAAACCTCGACCAATAATACTAAACTATATATTACTTTTACAATTTAATTAAGTTATTAATTTTAAAGGTTATTACTATATTTAATAACGCATAGCTCATCCAGTTGTGGGGCGTAAGTTTTTTCCTCACAGGATCTGTAAAACGCATTTATGTGTCTTTCAAGTGACCTAATGGATTTTTCTTCGTTCACTTTAGCCAAAAAGAGATAATTTTTAGCAGTGTACAACACTTTTAGACGATATACAGAATTTACAATCAACTGAAACATTGGCATATCTTTCATCATAAATCGTCTTTCATCATCTTCGACCTGAGTTAACTGTTGATTTATTGTGCCATTTTCCTAAAGGACAAAAACAAATAATAACTATTTAAAATACATTATATTCATATAAACAAAAATGTACGTATTAGATATGAATATAACAATAAAATATTTCGGAGAAAATGTAAACATAAAATGGTACTCATATTTTCAATCAACACAAGAGGAGTATTTTGATCATTCGATACAGTCAGAGGTAAATCATTGGGATAATTAATGTCAACATCATCAAAAACTTCATTAGGCAAAGCTAAAACATTGTTTTAGCTTTGTTGTAAGTGTTGTTCATCGTGTGTATAAAACACAATTGTATTTTTAATATCAAAAATAGACACTAATAATTAAATTGTAAACAGAAATTGGTACTCACATTTTCGATGGGCGCTAGTGATGCATTTTGATCATTCGATTCAGTGAATGGTAAATCATTGGAATCAGAAATGTCCACTTCGTCGAGGACTTCATTTGTTGAAGTTAGGACATTTTGTTGCTCATCCTGAGTATAAAATACAATTTTATTTTTAATATCAAAAACAGACAATTGTAAATAAATTGTCAACAAAAATTCCCATGTACACTTAGAGAAAAACCTCGATCTATATAATAAATTCATCGTTCAATTTGATAAATATATCATTACTATTGAACCTATGATATATTT